GTGTGTGTGTAGGGAATCAAGCTGTGCACACATCAGCCTGGAGCCAGCCACTGTGGAGGGGCTTTGCTTCCAGCCCTGAAAACTCTGGTAGCAAGAGTGGGACTGCCTGAGAATGGTTAGACAGAAAAGTTTCTTTAACATCTGTTCCATGATCTTTCTGGGCACAGAGGTGAGAGTGACCACCCAGTAGTTTCCCCAGTCTTCCTTTATTCCATTTTTAAAAATTAAAGTTCCCATCACTGGAACTTGACTGGACTGCCACAACTTCTTAAATACAATGGACAGTGGCACTGCCACTTCATCTGTCCCTTGGGACCTGTGGATACACCTCATCAGGTCCCATAGACTTGTGCACCTTCAGGGTCCTTAGATGTACTTGATCCTGATCTCCTACAACTGGTTCTTCATTCTCCCAGCCCCTGCCTTTGCCTTCTGTGGCTGGAGAACTTGCCAGTGAAAATTGAGGCAAAAAATTTGTTGAGTACCTCAGCTTTCTCCATGTCCTGGGTAACCATATCTCCCATATTCTTCCAAAGAAGACTCACATTCACCCTAGTCTTCCTTTTAGCACTGGTGCACCTATAGAAGATTTTCCTGTTGCTGCTGACATCTCTGACCAGCTTTAATTCTATCAGAGATTTAGCTTTCCTAACCTGATTCCTGCTTCTCTCTTTCTCTGCATTTCTCCCAGGCAACCTGTTCTTGCTTCTAGTCTCTGTAAGGCTTCCTTTTTGTGTTTGAGTTTGCCCAGGAGCTCCTCATTTATCCATGGAAGCCTTATGGTATTTTTTGCCTGATTTCTTTATTGTTAGGATGCATCACTCCTGAATTTAGATGCAGATGAGATGCAACTCTGAAGGCCCTCTAATATCCCTCCTGGAAGAATACAGTGCTAGGGTACCTTAACAGGTATTGAATAGGACTATGTTGGAAATGGGAGGGAGGGAGGGAGGGAGGGAGGGAATCTGTGTTACTGTGACTCCCATTGGGCACATATGTATTTCAGTAACTGAGCGTCAGCGCAGGATGAGCAGAAAACTTAGTCAAGAAATAATTTCAATGGGTATCAACTGCTGAGATGATTTTCAATGAAGCACAAAGATTTATTCTAACATGTTTTGCTAGGAGGAGAAATACTGTCCTAGCAGTATATTCAAGTAGCACTTCTGTCCTATATGAAACTCAGAGAGGAACTTAGAAAGGGGCCTAACATCATTGTAAATGCAGGTTATCATTTAATCCAAATCCAAAAATGCTTCTCAAGCTCAGCCCTATGAGCAGACTGCTGTCTGTGGATACTTTGCAGAGAAACACACAGAGCACTGTTGTACCACTTTGAGGACAGTCTCTTCTCTGCTAGCCCAAAGCAGGACTCACATTGAAAAATCTCAGAATAACTTCTTCCTTCTCTGTGTAGTTATGTAAGGCTTTTTATAAAAAAATGATCTTTCAACTCAGGCTTACAGTGATAACAGTATAATAATGGTGTTTCCAACAGTGTGCAGCTCTCCCCAAGAGACGTTGGAAGATATTTCATCAAATTAGTTCCTCAACATCACTAAGTCTGGGAAAAAAGCACAAATCAGTAGTTGGGCCTGTGCCCTTCTATCCTAGTGGAGGCTGGAATAGTGTTTCTATCAATAATAGCCTCAATCAGGCAATCAAGCAGCTCTTGCTCCAAAGAAAAGTCTTCCTAAAACTCAAGACAAGACATCAATTACACAATCACGTACTATTCTGGCTTTAAGAGACTGGATGGTGTGTCTTGAATGAAGAAGAATGAAATGGTTTTAAGTCACTTTCTGAAACAGGAGTAGAAAAGAATGCTATTGAGTTTTTAAAATGAGGTTAACTTTCTCTGCAGACAACAGGACACAAAGCCACTTAAAATATCTGGTAACTATTATATAATGCTTTTTTAAAACTTTCCCTGTTCGATTCAGCTTCAACTGGGGTATGTACTAAAGTCAGTGGAAGTCTTTTTGCTGACATCAATGGGTTCTGAATTAGGACCTCATTGCTTGCAACCCAGCTTGTGTGCTACATTAATTCAGAAATGGGTTTTAACACATTCTTTCACCTAACAGTCTCCTGAGCTGTGCACTGAGAGACAGAGGGCTTTTTTCCCCCTCTTTCTGGAGGACAGCAAGGCACAGCATAGTAATAGCTACAGTGTGATCTGAACTTTGTGAGTGCAATTTCCAAAAGGCAGAAACAGCTTTTCACAGGAAAAATGTTCCCTAAGTGTTAAACAAAACAAAAAAAAAAAACAGTTACAGAAAGCTATTCCAGTAACAACTTGGATCAGGAACATATAAATCATAATAAGAATATGAGTGGACACAGTTTGGAGAAACTGGGAAAGGGGACAGAACCACTTTTGGAGAACAACTGACATACCAAGAGCTTTACAAGTTGTACTGTGGTTGAGAAATAATATCTTAACCTTTGTACTTCCATCAAGCACTTTCAGTGGACACACACTCCAGCTTGGTGTAAATAAGTGATAAGAGACGAGAGTACTGCTGTCATCCTGTCACTCACTGTTCCCCCACCCTGGAATCATACAATTAACACAGCTTTGCTTCACAGGGGAATGTTCTTATAAACTGTTGTTCTGCTCCTAACTTCAGCTCCATTTAAGAAGATGAAAGTAAACAGTTTTGGTTCCCCAAGCTTTTTAAAAGAAAGAGTCTGCTTAAGCACTCTGGTTTTATTCACCTGGGAGATGCCTGTTTTCATATTATCCTTGGTGGACCAATAGCATATGAAGATTATTGGCTTTGAGACAAGAGGTTTTACAGTCCATCAGGTCCATTCACAGATTTGTTTATTAAAATGGTATTTGTGTATTGTTTTACTGATATGAGTTTGGATTAGTGTTACTGTTTTCTTCCCTGCAAGGACAGAGAGCTCTTGCTTCGTCACACAGCCATTCCCAGCTGAGCTCTGGAACACAGGGCAACCACAAGCTCTTGTGGCTGGTGGTCACACCAGTGGCCACCCAACCCTAAAAACCACAGCTTTGAAAGCAGCCTGTTTTGTCCCTGTGATCTGACCCACCCTAGCACCATCAGTGGGCACTGGCTCACATGGTTACACTGTATAGACCCCAGCAAAGCAAGGAATAAACTCTTCTGACAGAAGTTCTCAGACTGAGCCATTTCCCCAAGGATATATTGGAGTGGCTCTGAAGTGCAGCACAATGGTCAACACCTTTGTGGGGAAGACAGCCAGAGCTGCAGACCTCCAGCTTGTCAAGCCTGTGCTGCCTTTCACAAAGCACATGATGTCCTGCCTTTATGGGATCAGAGTATGTGAGAACATTCCCTCTACGCAGACACTGCATTAAACACACATCCATGCACCCAGGGCTGATCTGCCCTTCACAGCCCAGCACATGTTTATTCCTTCTCTTACCAAAGTCCAAATTTGCATCCTCAACTGCATGGGCAAAGAATGCAGCCTCAAAGGATGCTGCCCTGAATTCCTTGAAATGGGAGTCACTGCTGCCTGAGTGAGCTCAAGTCATACATCAGTTATGTGTCCAGAGGGGAACCAGAGAGAAGCAACTCACATCACAGGAAATATATAGTTCTCAATGTCACATACAAGTCTATGCAGGAATCTCTCTGGACAGCAGTGATCAACTGATCCAAATTTATAGCTAATGTGTCTTCATCCCATATCAATCAAATCCCAACTTCCATAAGCAGGCCCATAACAGTGATGGTGGAAGACCAGAACTTCGCAGTCCATCAAACTCTCAAGTAATATTCCAGATGCAGTGGAAGAGAGAACTTGGCCAACACTGAAGAAAAGGATGTAGGATTAATGGATGAGTGGATAAAGGAAAAAAGAAGAATTCTTAACATCTGGGGAAGACATTCATGCTTCAGCATGACATGACAGAAGATGAGGTGAGCTTCTATTAACAGCTCATGGAAAAACAAAGGACCCCTAAAACTGCATCACAATCCACAAGACACCAAGCCTGAAGAAACAATTCAGTTGAGACTTCAGCTCTTTGAGATAAAATGCAGCTTATTCAACTATCAAAGTTTTCCCTGTGAGCACAGTGAGCAAGGCTTAATTAGGAACATAATGTAATGTGTGAAGGACATTTTGTTAAAAATACACCGCATGTACTGAGGAACTCTGCTTTTTTCATAGTGTGACATACAACAGGCACTGAACCAAAACACCACAGAAGTATGTGGTTTATGCTATCCCATTGGACTACCAAACAACATTTAACATAAAGTATTGCAGATATATAGTAGAGGATGTCTAAATGTTCCTTTACAGTATTGCCACAATAACTGCTTTTCTTTCATGTTACCACAGCCATTACTAGAGAGCTAACACCAAAAGTCATCATAAAACATCTAAACCTCATTTGGAAAATATATGTAACCTTTTTTGTTACTCCTTCTTCTCTGTCTTCTAATCTGGACTTAATATTAAACCCAGCTTTGTTTTTTCTTAGCAGCAAAATTAGAAGCAACTCTATTCAAGTCAATACAATTATTTCAACATGAAGAAGGAATCAGCCATCTGCAAAAAACAGTCTAACAGGTAATTTTCCATTGACAGCTCTTACCATAAAACAGGTGACAGAAATGACACTGTTTCACCTAACACTGTGTTTCATCTAACACTGAAAGTAAACAATTAATGCAAATTGGACAATGCTTTTAAAGACAATAAAGTCTTCCATCTATGCCCTTTATACATAATTATTTTCATCTTAGTAAGCAGACACTTAGGAAGGACCACCATCAGATTGTAGATGGAGCCTATTCATCACACAAAACAGGCAGCTGAACATCTCTATTTATTTATGCATTATTTTACTTTTTGATCCCCCCTTGGAAAGCATGTGGAATCTATGAGACATTTTCATGCATCATTTCTTGTAGAAGAACATCAAGTCACCTTTTTTGCCCTCAGGCAAACTTCCCCAATGTGATCTCAGTAAGTGTCCATATTTTCCATACCTTGTGTAAGCAGCTGGAGGTTTCGGACTTCTTCTCTCACCTTCAGCTGAAGGACTTGCTGCAGAATGTGCTGTCTCAGGCTTTCCTGGGCAATGCCCATTCGTTCAAGCTTTTTGTCAGTAAGTCTCAGCAAAGCACGGCCTGGAAGAAAAAGCCAAGAACAAAAATCACCCAAGAATTTCCATTAGTGCAATAAGCTCATTCTGACATGATAATTCACTACAGAAAAAATTCTCAGCCCTGAAATACCTTATTCTGAGCAGACATTGTTCCATCTGTTAGGTACTCCCTAACTGTTAGAGACCTATGTGCTACTCCTCCCTTTTCTATTGTTTTTCTGTATTGTTTTGGTACTTTGTGAGATAGAGGCATGTAAAAGAGGAATCTTGTGCCATTTTAGACAGCCAGTTGCTGTTCTTAAGGGCCAGTTGTTTTCCCATGGGTAGGACAACCCCTGTAAATCTACAACTGACATAGGTGCCTAAATAGACTCTCACCTATTTTCAAACATCATGTCAAGAAATGAGTGAAAACCAATGACTGTGGGTTTTACAAATTAAATCAATTTAAGTTTTATCAGGGACAAATATTGTTGCAATTCAGATATGTCTATAGTTTATCAGCACCATTTCCCAGGATGGTTCTGTACTTCATGGTTCAGCCTTCCAAATCCCTCTTAACAGCAAACTATCACAGCAAAATTGGAAAAAAAACCCCAGAGATTTCTATCAATTATATCTAAAACACTCCCAAAAAATATTTTGTCCGACTATAAAAACCATCTGCCTATGGTCTTTGCAGGCATTCACTCCCAGTTTGTGACTTATCTTTAGTGTTAGGTTAATGTTGAAACACAGCCCCAGGCAGATTGTAGATGTTAAAAAAATCAAACAATCTACAATTTTGCTAGTGGAACTCTGACTCCATCTTTTGGGCATGGCTATGCTATAAATAAACAGGAGCAAGGCTGTACACTGGCTGAGCCAACAGTAAGGAATTATTTGAACCAAGCAGAGAACCAAAGCATCAAGCAGAATTTTGCCCTAGGAAGAATATGAAAACTTACTTTCTTTGGTCTTGCCCACTGCTGTGGGGTGGTACAGGGAGGAGTGTTGTGCAGCCCCCTACTGACTCTTATTGCCACTGTGCACATTTGCTATCTAAAGGTGCCCTGGCCAATGAAAACAAATCAAACTGGAGCTACATGGATACTACCTTGAAAATGACCTGTTTGGTTCACTTTTTTAAACAGGTTCAACTTTTTACCTCCTCTGTTTTTTAATTATGAAAAACCCCTTCTTTGACTTCTCAGGTCTTATTCTGAAACCAGGAGAAGATAGCAAAGAACAAGTTATTCCCTCTGCAACACAGCAGCCTCTGTGCTACCATTGCTGTGGCTTTTGGATGAATGGTACAATTTAGCTCCTTAGAAAGTGTTACTCAACACAGCAAGATAAGGCCCTTATTCAATGTCTTTCCTTGCAAACTAGCAAGGAGTAGAAAATTTTTATAATTATTTTAATTAAAAAATTTAAGATAAATGCCAAAAATTTAAAGGGGCACAGAATATCTGCTCCAAACCAAGGAGTTAGCAGCATGCCTTTCACAAACTGCTGTATTTCACTCACAAGCAGTTCCACAGGATCTTGATATAACACAATGTAAAATACTGGGATATTACTATTAATAAAGCAAGATCTTATTGATCAGATAAAAATGACAGCATTCATAGATGTTCAGCCCTTCTGCATCTCTCAAACACTACACACTACAAAGGATGACCTTTTGACTAGGAAACCTTTCTTTGAAATCACAGAAAAGAAGAATTCTAAGGGTTAATGTAATTACAAACTATTGAAATTAAGTCTCTTGCAGATCAATGCCAGCTGTCCAATTCTCCTGGTGATAAAGGCAGCAATAATGACTTCAATTTTTATATTGTCTTATCACACTAAAATATCTTAAAGCAATTTATAAAGGATGTACAACAGTTCAAGAGTATGGTCTGTAATGTCAAATTAGCAACTGAAAGCAAATAAAAACACAAGAAACCAGTTTAAAGAGTGCCAACACCTGTCATCTTAGGGCAGTGAGTCAGCAACAGTAATATGAAAGGACAGACAGAGACCATGCATCTCATCCAGTGCCCTCCACCTCTTTTTGGCCATAGATACAGTCATTACTCTTTCCTTCCTCTGGGCAACTCTTTAGTTCATATTCAAATCGTTTTTCTATCCCAGCCACTGGAAGTTGAGTGTGCACAAAACAGAAATGTCTCTTTTCAACTCTTGGCATGTCAGTTCTTCTGCTGCTTAGGCTCAAAGCATGATGCTATTGACTCATACTCTCTGTAGCAGCTTGCACAAATTGCCTTAAATTAACCCTTTCTTACACCAAATCCAAAGTGACATGTTCAGGCAGTGATGAGGTGAGAAAGCAAACATCCAAATGTGGCATTTCAAGAATGCACTAAGGGACCTGATCGTGAAAATTCAATCCTCCTCATACCTTCTCCCCCCTCAACACCTAGAAGAACAACATCCAAGTCACAAGTGGAATAATTTTCATTCTGACACTAAATCATGCCTTTGAAAAGATATTTTTAGCGCCTGGACCAGTCACTAAAGCCAATTAGTCACTAAGGCCAAGATCCTGACAATCAGCTAATGCTTTTGGATGCTTCCCTGTCTTGCTTTGTGTATTATGCATATCTGAAAGAGTAATCATTTTGTGCTAAGAACTCTGTGTTATTGAACATTGAAGCCAACTGTCCAGAAATTTGTGGAGTCTCTGTCTTTGGAAGCATTCAAAATCTGTTTGACAGGGTCCTGAGCTGGACTTGTCCCTGCTTTGAGTAGATGATTGCCAGTGATGCCTTCCAACATCATCTGTTCTGTGAACTAACCTGCATGAAGGATCTTGATCTAAATACCTATTTTCTTTTAAAAAGCTGAGATTAACAAAGGAAATTATTAAGAATACACAAAAGATGGCCATTTTATCAAGCAACATGGTTAAACAGAGAGACAGCTATGCAGTAAAAATTGGGGGTAGATTTTTAATTTTCAGAGTGCAGATATATTATCAAAAGCAGAACATTTCTAAGAGTATATACTGATCTTTGCTCAGACACAAGTAGAATAAACTTAACTACCATTGCAGGAAAATTTCCCAACACTACAGAACAGACACCACCTCTTAGATGTAATAGTTACCTGCCCAGCAGGAACATTTTTTTCAAACAGAACATTTTTTTCAAAAGCACCTAAACTAAGAGAAACATAAGGGTCCCAGTGACAAACACCTAGGCCTTGGTTCAGGCTAGCTGGAAGGCTGGAAACCAAATGTTTTAAACAAAACTCCACAACTCCCTCAGTATCTGCACATGTCTTTTAACACCTAAACCCCAGCCCTCTCATACTCAGGGCAGATCTGCCGTGGAATGTTCTGAGCTACCCTGAGGGCAAACACAAACTATAAAACACTTTCCAGCTTAATAATAGATTGATGGCCTAATTTTTTCTAATATGACTTAGCTGCTACAGATCTCATTGAATCAAGCTGGGATTAGATGAAAATCTGAATGGAGGGAGAAACATTGCATGCCACAGAACATTAGCATGAGTATAAGCACTGGTCCAATGGGGCTGGCATTGGCCCTTGAGCAAGGAAGGCAGCACACACTGCTGTACCTAATGAGAAATGCTCAGCCCTCCCTGCACTACTATATCCTTCTGCTCTTCCCCCAAGTGCCAGTGTACAGACACACAGAGGGACACCTCACAAGAAGCCTTGAAAGAACACTTGCAATGGAGGCAAAGGGCCAGGTAAGAAAGGGCTTATTTAACAAGTGGAAAGAACTGAAGAAATACAGGGAAACAAGAGCAGATAGCAGTGAGAGGCTGATCTGACACAAAACCCTGATGAAAACTATGAGTAATTTAAAGCTGATGAAAATAATAAACCACAAGTGGGAACAAATGATGGTGTGAAATATGGCCAAGACAGGTGACCTTGTCTTCCAAGTACAGTATGAAAGGTATACCTGATCTTGATCTTGCACCTATACTGAACATCAAGACAAGATGTTCAGTTTACTTACTTGTAAAACCTGAAAAAACAGGAAAATGAGATTTACTAAGCCCCTAATTATGTAAGATGAAAAATGTTTCAAGTTTATACTTAAATGCTGCAAATGCCATTTTATTCTTAGTTAATAGATAACAGTGTGTTTCTCTAGTTTTTCAAACGTGGTGCTTTTGTGTTTACATGAAACAGTCTGATCACAGCTTTCCTCTTGCTTAAACAGGGTGATTGTTGGCTTCTCTTGACTGCCTTGGACATATCTTGTAAGAAATTTCCATGACAGAGACACAGGCATGAACATCATTGTTCAGGTGCTGGTGAGACACAAGTATAAAACTCTCATCATATACTCAGGAAAGAATGCAAACAAGAATGGGCAGAGACAGAGGCTATGATTTCATAGTGAGGAATGGCAAAATTATGAGAGGAGGCAGAAATAGAATAATCATCTACAGAATGAGACTAGCCTCATGATGGCAGTGGGGGGAGATGAACACTGGGAAAAGAGAAGAACTATTAGACTGAATATATATACTATATATATAAAATACATATAATCCCTGACTATATTAGGGAACTGATTTGAAAAGAGAACAAATGGGTGTGATTACAATTGAAGATGCTGAGTTCAGAAATATCTTTTAAAAGAAACAGCACAAACCAGAAATCAATCAAATTTTCAGAGCAAACTTCATATAACTTCCTGATGCTTCTCTGGATAACCTATCAGATCTTCTACAGTCCTACATTTTCTGCTTTTCCCATGAGAATTTAAGACCCTGTCTCTCCTTCTCATGCCTGTCTCATCACTAGTCAACCAGACACATTAGCCACTTTGTCATCAATGCCTTGTGGCAAATCTACAGCTCATCCTGCAAAGGCAGCTAGATCTGATTTGTCTTACTAATCATTTTAGCCCTAAGACTAATGCAGACTCTTGGTAAACTGCAACTTGCATTACCATCCTCTTTGTCCCCCTTCAGGTATCTAATATGTCACCAATCAGGGAAGACTTACTTGCTTTAAAAGTAAAAATGGATTCATTTTTCATCCGA